ATTACAACTAAATAATAATAAAAGAAAATCAAATATAGTTTTTTTATTATGTTCTTTCATTATAGTTGATTAAACTTATACAAAAAGGTATGTGTTTATTGAGATGTTCTTCATCACTGTTAATAACATTAGTGACAGTTATGATAACATAAACAAAGTATAAAAATAGACGAACTACCATTAGATTTTCAATTGAATAAATTCTAGTCAGCAAACTACATTAGTTACTGTTTGTATTGAAGCTTTTTTTTTTATAATCAGTGGCAACTACGTGCATTGCTTGATCCTCTATGGAGAGAAGTATGCCACCGTTATTATTACGCTTCTTCATCTCTTTCCGGGCGGAAGACGATAGCGTATGGTAACATACACGTACACCGGAAAATCATACAACAACGACTTTTTCTCCTCCTACTCTACTACAATCGTCCTTGTTCATACAATGAGATGAAAAGCGAAGAAAGTAGAAATTGAAATATTACAATGGAAAAAAATTTCACCTATTACAAAGACAAAAAAAAAGAATCAATTCTAAAAATAAGTTTTTTTCCGAAAAAAGTTCTCAGGTGTTTTCTAGGTAAAGAATTTTCTATTGAAATTATTCATTTTTGTTCTGTCTTTTTTCTCTCTCATTTTCCAGAAAATGTTTGTCTTTTTCTTGCATCTTATTCTTCAATTTAAATGTTAAGTATAAACGAATCGAGAGAAGAGAAAAAACCGACATATGTTGCAATGAAGCATGACGTGCAAATGTGATGTCCTTGTTGTTTGCTTGTCTGTCTGGTTTTTTTCAATAACTAAATAAACTACGACAAGACCTTGAATAAAAAATTGATTAAAAGTTGAAATTAACGGAAGTGTTTTATTATATTAGATAAATGTTCAATAAATACAATAGGTTATTTATTGATTATTATTAAAATAAAGTAAAGAAAAAAAGAAAATTGTTGTTTATTTCTCTTCTTTCTTGTCGAAATTGAAGCTTGCTTTTTTTACGTTCCTATTAATAAAAATATATTCGTATTAATAGTTACGGCCTCTTTTTTCGTTCTTTTGTGTCTATATACATAGATATACAAGAAAAAAGTAGAAGCAATCGATATTAGTGCTGATCAAAACAAATGTGTTGACTGTATTCAGTATTATGATTCAAGTGTATTCTAATATAAGTAATACTTAAATATTATTTTAAACGAATATAGTATTCGGTATGTATTTGCAAAAATTATTGTTTTTTTTTTTTTTTTTTGAATAATATAAGAAAAAGAAATCCATTAACTGATTATTATATATTATTTTACGACAAAACAATCAAAATAAATTATTCTTTTCATTTATTTTCAACTTCATTAGAAAAAGTCAAGGTTATAATAACAGGCATTTATATCTTGATTTTCATTGTTGTATAAATTTGTTTGGTTTTTAAAATAGACTTATATTAGTGTCTTGCATATTCAAACAAGATTCATTTTAATTACAAATATTCTATATCAACTTTTACTATAGTCCTTGTCATTATGAACAATAACAACTACTACAATAAACAAACCATGAGTTATCATTTCAAATCAAATTTCGCAAAATACTGACACAATCAATTAAAAGTTTTAGTTAGAATAATAATATCAACCAACAACAACAAAGACAACTAAGGTCATAGATATTCTCATGTTGTGCTTATGAAAAAACAACCATATTGATTATTGTGACGTCAAATTAACCTCTCTATTAAACCACGCCTATATTCTCATAGGATTTTCAAAGATGACATACTAATCACATTTGCAAAGAATTATAAACAGATCAATAGCCATTTAGTTGTATAATTTTTAAAAATATTTCTAACTAGATTTCATAATAACCCTTATCAAACAAAATTCTGATTGATATTTCATCGATATTGATTTGCATAAATAAAAAAAAATACTATTAAAATTCACTTTTTTATGTCATAAACGAGTTTTTTTCAATTTTTCTCTTCATTAACAATTGAAATAAAATGAAAATAAACTTCATTGAAATCGTATTTTTAAATATTTATTGTTAATCTAAGAAAGTACTTTTGAAGATATAAAACTTTTTTCAAAATGATTCGTCAACATTTTTTGCAACAACAACGTTTAAACTATAATCATGATCGTCTACTTGACCGATATCAATGTCTTCTCTCACCACAAGTATCTGAGTTTCGTGCATTTGGTACAAGTTCATTACCGGGTCGGAATTATGAGCAATATTTACGAGCCATGCATTCTAATCCTCTTCGTAAAGATTCATTGGTTGCATTATCACGAGCAGGCATCGGTTCATCAAGTGAAACATATCGATGGTTGGGTAATGGAGTATCAGAAATTTTACCAAGAAATGTTAGTGCTGTCATGAGACATACTCGACAACAATCAATGCCCATAGTACATACAGAAAAGTTTGAACCTGTTCAATTTTATGAGCATCCTGTGTTTGGACCAACACCCGCTTATCTTCGACCTATATATAATGAAAGACAACTTCAACAACTACGAGAAATTAAAGGTGCTAATAGTGACAAAGATAGTACTGATGATGAAGACGATCATGAAGTTCAATCACATACGTCAAGAAATACCCATTTAAAAAATGATCATGATGAAGAAAGAAAACTTTCCTCGGTTTCTGCTAAAGATGATGATGATAGTGATGAATCCGATGATGCACCTTTAGGATATATATCATATAAAAAATGGAAAGCAAAATATGAAAATCTTATTCCAGTTAATCCTCTCCTTTTTAATATTCATACTCAACGTCCAAATGGATCGATTAGTAGTTATGGCCGATCATTGTATACATCACTTAATCGTACGAAACTTCATAGACTATCAAGTCGTGATGAACATGTATTTTCTCCTACTCTATCAGAAATCGGTTCTATTTCGTCTGATATACATCATGAAACTTCTTCATCATCAAGTCAACGATATCATAGATTGCAACCACATTCATTTCCTACGACTATAAAAACGCGATCATTACAACCTATTCGTACAGGTTAGAATTTTCTCTGTGAGCAATTAACTTACACATTAGAAAATATTCTAGAAGAAAAATAACCCCAAACATCCGAACATGAGTCATCATTATTTAGTTTTTAAGAACAAATAATGTATCCAATTTTCGTTGTCTATTTTATCTTTATAGGAAATATCAGTGATTCATCGGATGATGAGTTAAGTCCACCAGGTTCCCCTGTACCCTATTCATTGCGAAACAATTCAAATTTAGTGCCATCAACGTCAGTACCTAACAGGATTTCATCAACACCAATAAAGACACCATTAGCTCCAACAACAAGAATAACATCAATATCACCAACATTAGGAATAACATCATCATCAGCACCAACAACAGGAATAACATCATCGTCAGTACCAACGACCGGAATAACGTCCTCTTCATCACCATTAGCTCCAATAACAGGAACAGTGTCATTACCATCAGCCCCAACAACAGGAACAACATCATTACCATCAGCTCCAACTACGGGGATAACATCATCATTGAACACATCAATCGGTAACACTACAGGTATTTAAAGCCTTGGTCCAATAACAAGTTCAAGATTTCTTCAATTTCTTTTTTCCAACAAAGATGAGAATAGAGCAGTTACAGTGTAATATTTCATTTTTTTTCGCTTGAGTCAATACTAAATCACCGTTGTTAACTTAAAAGATATGTTTACACAATTGCCGTGATTTTCTGCATTTATGCAATCTATTAAAAAATTCTTATATTCTACATTTAATGACTTTGTCGTTTAGGTGCATCTATTCCATCAATACCGTCAACGAATGCATCAAATATCCCTCCTGCACCACCTATGCCTCCATACTTATTGTCAACAACATCTACTCATCCATATGAAACACCTTCAAATCTTCCAATTTCATCATCTTCGATCACACCGTCTATGCCTAAACCTTTATCAAATTCCGGCTCATCTGCTACATACCAAGCACCTTCAAGCATTTCTTTTTCTCCACCATCAGCTCCACTACTACCTAGTTCTGTACCAATGACACCTTCAACAAAAGCAGTAACTTTTGGTGGTTCATCGTCAATTCCAATAACAAATGTTGACGTTTCAAGCAGTAGCGATAGTGAGGATGAAGAGAAACAAAAACGTCGACGAAAAAAGAAAAGGTATACTATACTAAACTATTAATATAATATTCATTATCATCCATAAAATATAATCTATTATTTAGACAAGCTCAAGCTGCTCAAGGCTTTCATGTGGATTCATCATCTTCAGATGCCTAAACTCTTTGAATATGTTTTTTTTTTGTCTAAATTTCTTTTCTACGTATATTTTCAATAAATTCCATGAAACGCAGGAAACAACTATACACTTAGACCAACCGATTTGAGTACTCAACATGGATGTTCTCTCTTTTTCACCCAATAATTATTTTTTCAGGAAATACTTGGAATGTAATGATATAGACTTTTTTGTTGTTTGACTAAATTTTCTGTGCATTTATTTTTGTGAGCTTATCATACTAAATTGAAAACATAGTATTTGTAGATTGAATGTTTATGTTTGTATATATATATAATGTTCTTAAAATTTACTTTGTCCTTAAATCGTTCATTATTTTAAAACGAAGAAAAATAAATATTGTGCACTATCCACAATTGAAAACTATTAGTTTTGATCATTACAAGATTCTATCAGATCTATATTTATGAATACAAACAATGTTTTCTCATCACAATTTTCTACATGATTGAATTTCTAGCAAAGACAATCTGATAAAACAAGTAAATAAACCTGAAATATAGCATGTCAACCAAGACATTGAATGACATTTGAGATTTTGTCTTGTCTCATTATCTTTAACGCTTTGTATAATAAGAACTATATGCATTAACAACTATTTATAACCAAAGAATAAAAGAAGAAAAAGAAGAAGAGAAACGACTAATTGACTAGATAAACTAGCCTAGAAGTGTTTAGTGCTTCAGAGTTTTAAAGCTCGGTGTTGATTATTATCGAGCCTAGCATGAAAACTTATACTTCTTTACTTATCTTTCTACTATGATAAAAGAGAAAGGAGTAGAATTGTAATCAATCTGACGGTTCCTCAACACTTGAAGAAAATCGTGTAGATATGCTATCTTTTTCAGGTAAAGTATGTTGAGAACAACTTTAAGTAGTCTTATTAAAGTAATCAAAAAGTGTTCTTTGAGAAACTATGAACTATATTTTTCTTTATGTTTGCACGCTCACATCTATTTACTTCATAAAAGATTCATAAAAACTGTACAATTCGAATTAAATTTCATAATTGATTGTATTGATGTTTATTTAGAAATTATACTGACATTTGTACTATTGTTCAACGAGAAAGATTATGTTTCTCTGTGAACTCTGAGTGAAAAAACTCTCAGTTTTGTGTTTCTTAATTAGGTGTCAGATGAATGACTCTTTTTCTCGCCCTGGATAAACATTAAATATTCATCTTCAAAATATCTTAAAGATATAAACTTCTATAATCTGATATTTTTCTTCAAAATATGAGTAAAAATATGAACTCAAAGAAAAAAGAAAACAAATACTGTCTGAAGTCATTTCTTTTAACTAATTAAAAATAATTTAAAAAGTCTAGTTGGTTTTGTACCAGTATGAAAAATATTTTGAATCGATTCGCAAGTTGTCGACCGGTTATAGCTCTGACAAGGACTCATCAGTATTCCGGAAAAAGCTTTTTGTGGTTCTTTTTTTTCACTATTGCTCAGCCTTTGTTCCTTTTTATTTTCTTCACATTTTAAATGTAGTATGTTAATGCATTTGTAAATCTAGTGAAGGCATAAGGAAATTCTTGTATCTTAATTTTAGAATTAAGTGAAAATGACGGGCACAATAAGATTTTCTAAAGTAGGCAAGAAAAAACTAATAACATCCAAGCGTCCCTATTATACTAATCATTTGTTTTTTTTTCTTTCTTTTTCTTCTCTTCCACTCTCTCTCTATTGTTCCAATTTTTACTTTATATATTCGTGTACATACTCGAGTTCGTCCGATCTCATGTTGGACATAAATTTGAGTATAGGAGTTTTAATAAAAATCTTGCCGTGACTAAGTAAGTTAAATTACTGTTGTCATGAAGATTCTTCTTTTTTATTTTAATCCTAGAATAAAAGATCGTTGGAATAGAAGAAATCTATAAGACAGCAATAGGACTGAAAACGTAATAAAATAATATTTTTTTTTATAATAATTTGTAGTTTGGAATGTCTTTATTAATTCTCATTTTCTGTTATACTCTTCTATATTTATGATGCATAAAATGAAATTACTTACACTAAATTATCATTGAACCTTTGACTATCAAAGTTTCAATAGAGTCCACTTAAGTAAATGTCACATTGAAAACAAATTTTCCTTTTATTTCTAATAAGAAAAAAAATGACATTTTCCTTAATTTAGTCATTTTTCAACTGGCTATATCATTTAGAAATAAATCGGTGAAATGAGTAGAATTCATTCGATATGTTTATTGTCCATGATTGAATTTTATTCTTAAGAAAAATATAATTTTATATGATGCTTAGCATTCATCAAAAGGGTTTTGGTTGATTTACTCTATTTTTAGAGATAAGATTATTTTCTTATTGATGTCGAAAAGAATTTCTAGAGCACTCATCTAAACTCAGTCTCTTTTATATTCATACAATTTTTCATTTAAAAGACAATATAATCAGACTACTTCTTTTTTTTTTTCATCTTGTTCTCATTATGAAGAATATTTTTTTTTTTTATTCAAAGACGTTATAACATAAGATTATAAGACATGTTGTCATTTTGCGTATTTAAGAAAATTTTTGTCTATTTTTCTTACTAAATATATCAAACAGGAAAATATAATGCTCCTTTTATACAGCATGTATATTTAATTATTTTTTATTGTGACAAGTTTTTATAGATCAGTATTTGTATTTATAAGCAATGATTCAATAGACGAATGATAATAAAATTTAAGATATAAGATAAATATAATTCGACTACGATAACTTTTAATTTTAGTAAGTAAAATTAGATTTTGGATAAGCATCTTTCATAAAATAGCATAAGCTTTAATCTGTTATTTATAGATGTCAATGTCAAATGATTAGCTGATGTGAAAAATTTAGTATTGTATCATTTTTTTTTCTTTTTTCAACTATTATTTGTTTGAGTTTGCTTCGTTACTGATAAAAAAAAAACTTGCTCTAGCCTAATTTGAGTATATGAATTTTCAATCGAATCTTTATATACCCAATAGACAATATTGTTATTAATTGTATTTTATTAGTATTCCATTCTCAGGAGATATGCTAGAGAAAAAAAAACCAAATTAGATATAACAGACACTTGCTTTTATACAAATCATAATGATTACTATCTTAACAAAAGTAGAACTAGCTTAGTCTTAAATGATTGCTAATAAAATTTTCTGATCAATAGTAAGTTTTATTCGATTAGAAAAAAATAGATAATATACGTTCAATAATATTTATCTTATTGTAATATAAATCTTCGGACTATGAACACTAATTCACGATTGAGTTTTTCAATATATGTAAAAAAAGATACGATTTCTACAAAAGTTTTAGTCATGTATAGTACCTAGATGAATAATAATATATTTTTTTTTTGCATGCGAAAAAAGCATTTAATTTATACTAGAAAGAAGAATACATTTTATCTAAAGAAAAAAAAAAATATATGTTGTCATTTTTATGTCAAGACTAAAGCCTTGTTTTCTGATTAAAAAAAAGTTTTTCTTCTGCTATAGTTGTCCAATGTCGTAGTTTTCAAAGTAAACTTAATTAGTATATGACTCGTTACTTTCTTTAAGAACTAAAATTGATAAGATAAAACACTCTATAGCCATAAAATAGTATACTTTTCTTTCATTTACGTTTCAGTAAGATTTTTTTTATCGGAGTACTTTTCTATTTGTCAATTAATTATGAGATAATTAAGAATGGTTAATATTTTGAACTATCTATTATACATACTAGTAGATAGGAACTATAATAAGTGATCTAATACTCGTTCATAATTTGTAAGCGAATTCTGTAGTAAGCTGATTAAGAGCGTCCTTTTACAAGAAAAACTCGCTAACATTGATTATTGAATTGGCACCACTCAAATAGTAGATTGAATAAATGTGAATGCATTCTCTTTTTTTTGCTTTATTCGTTCCAGTTACGAGTAATTAGCTAGCGTGGGAGTATAAATAGCTCATGGCGTTTTACATCTCCTGTTATTCATGTTAGTCTAGAATAATAATTTTGTCATCTAGTCATAATAAGAGCCTCATGTTGTCTTTTTATCACCATTGTTATAATTTTCTCCATTGATTGTCCATACTCAACACTTGTATTAGTCTCTTTTCTTCTTTTTTTATTTTTCCGGTTTTTTTCGCCTTCTTCACAATGTTGCGCTCGGAATTTGTCATGCATAGATAATCGTATTTTTATGCAATAACAAATAGATTCCAGCACGAACAATAAGACGAGAAGACTTCAAGAAACTCTTCTTTATTTATATATTTTTATCGTATCATTTTCTCTTTCCATCGTGCGCTATTGACTATTGATAAAAGAAGTAAAAGAACATAAAAGAGAGAGTATTTGCTTTTTGAAAATATTTCGTATTCATAAAATAGATAATTTTTCTATTATTTTTGTTTGTTTTTTTTTTTTTTTTTTTGAGATATTATTATTTTAATCAATGTCAATGGCCACAACACATAAAATCATTTATCAAAAGTGTAAGTATTACTCAAATTCTTATTTAATAAATCATTTAAAACAAAAAAAAAACAAAAAATTTCTTTTTACTTTCATTTGCTTATAATATACGATTTAATTCTTTGTTTTTGTTTAGACACACAAATTGATTTAATAACAACAACTTTATCAGCATATGTTGAAAATGTTTGTGAAAATCAAACACAATCAGCTTTGGATGAAATTGAAGATCGAATTAATGTTGTTGTTCCATATTTAGTAGTACTGGGTAAATAAGCAATTCATATAGAATAAAACATATGGTGTTGCTTTTATTTTAGTTCAGATTGAATAAAACATGTGTTTTCTTTCTCTCTAGGTATCATTGGCAATAGTCTTTCAGTACTTACATTTTCTCAACGTAAATTACGTATACTTTCCTGTGGTTGTTATTTATTATTACTTGCCATATGCGATACAATTGCATTATTAATAATGTCTCGGCCGTATTTTTTTAAGCAATTAAATATGATTCATCATCTTAATTCAAGTTTTCTTTGTGGTCTACATTTATTTTTAACAAAAATATTCGATGAATTAACGCCGTGGTTATTAGTTTTTGTTGCATGTAATCGTCTTGTTTTATCACGCTATCCCCGTAATGATCAATGTTTTCAAACATCACGAGCTGCTCTATGGAGTACGTTATGTCTTTTAAGCATAATAATATTTCTTAATTTACATTTATTATTTGGCATTGGTGTTGGATTCTCACCATCACAACCATGTATATCTGTTTGTGGTCCATTAACACAATCTCCATCATATTTGTTTTTTTATAAAAATGTCAGTCCAGTAATTGACTTATTTTTAAGTTTGATAATACCATTTTGTATTGTATTTATTGCTAATATATTTATATTAGCCAATGTTAGACGTGTTAAAAAACAAGCAACGCGTATGCGTCGTCGAAAACGAGCCACTCGAAATGCTCGTTTAAGCATTGTTTTACTTGCTGATCTTATGACATTTCTTATTGCTAGTGTACCAGTTTTATCAGTTGAATGTATATATCGATTTACACGTACTCTTGAACATAATGAACAATTGGATGAATATATATCAATAGCATGGATAATAGCAAATAAAGTTTTTTATTTAAATTATTCATTATCATTTTATTTTTATGTTTTAACATCATCATATTTTCGTCATCATTTTCTTCTTGCAATACGTTGTAAAAAATTACATAATATTTTCTTTCAAAGAAAACAAAATAGTCGTCAAAGTTATCAAACAACTGATTTTGCAACAAAATGTCGTGCTAATCGTTTATCATCAACATCTAGAATAGCTACAAAAAATTGTGATTCTAATTTAACTTGTGCACAACCAAAAACTTTTCAGCAATCACAAGAAATTATGTATATTAATAATAGTATTAATGAAATTATGCCATTACGTGAAAGTCGAACTTCATTAACAGTACCAAATGGTACTTTAGTTTATGTTTAAAGAAGAAAAAAAAAAATAACATAACAACTAATCAAAAGTCTTTTATTCTATTAAACATCAAACTTCAATTATTATCGTGTTGTTGTTTTTTTCTATGTATTTGTCATGAATTTATTCATTTTGATATTGTGATTTTTAAAGAAGAACGGTGAATAGATCCAAAATCAGTTAATATAAATCAAAGAAAAAAAACAACTAAATTTTTCATTTAAAACTTTGAAACAGAACAACGATGTATTATGATCGAGATTACTTTGATAGTTAGCTACATACATTAGATATTTAACATGTAAAGAAATTCTAGCTATAATAAGTCATTAATAATAACATATTCAATAACTAGGTCACACATGACATTCTTTTCTCGTAAATATTAATATGCATCGCAATTTTTTTTAATGTTAGTTCATGCCTGTGGAGAGTTCTTATAATGGTTGCAAATTATTTCCTTTGCAAAATAACATAAAATTAGTCAGATAAGCAAGGTTAGATATAATAAATGATAGTTGACATAAGGAAACACTATTTTCTTATACTCTGTTGAAAGCTTATATATATTATAATAAGTATTCTATGTAGCTTTTTAAACTATATCCAAATGATAAAAATATATAATGGTTATTATCAAGATTTTCTTCTATATAACATAAAGCATTTGAGATAGGAAAGAATAAACGTTCATTAGTGCATATAAGTATACATATATATATATATATATATATTGGTGTCGATACCAATGTAGACATACAAATAATACAGTACAAAATGTTTTCGAAAAAAGAGCTAAATATAAAACATTAATACTCGTTTGACAAAATAGCTTTATAGTGGCTAAATGTATGTGAATAATAAATGATAGATTAGGAGTTTTTCACTTTTTTCTTCTCTAAATTATAGTGTTAAGAACGTGTCAAATAGTTGTCATAACTTTAACTTATTTAGCTGAAGCAATCATGAATAAAACATGATTTCAACTTCATTAAAATTAAACTGTTTCATGCTCTAAAAGTTTTCTTTTGCAATAGTAGAATGATGTCAAGCATTATAAACACATTAATTAAACAATAGTTTTATTAGAGAATGAATTAGCTGGCATTATTTTCATTATAATATTAATGATTCGACAAATAACAGATATGATTGTAGCTAACGGACTCGCTGCAGCTGAAAGTAAAAATGATATTCTTTTTTTTTCTTAATTCTTAGTTATTAATCAAATTTATGTTTGTCCTTATACTATAGCTGTTGTCTGCGTGAAAGATTGTTGGCAAATCAGCCGAGCATCGCAAGGTACTATTCAAGTAGATCCAAAAGCTTTTTCAACTGGTATTCTAGCTGGGACTGATTATATTCATTCGAGAAAACTTAAATTTGGTCTCTATTTAGCAAACATTGACACAGCAGAACGTTCATATACAGAAACCTAACTACATGATTACCTTTTATACACCAGATGCTAAACTCAAAACATGTGCTAATCGACCTAGCTCACTACATTATAAGACAATAGATGCCAATAAATAGGTTGCTGAGGGTGTCGATTATTTGAAATATGATAATTGTAATTCTGATGGAACAATACCAGAATTGAGATTTTCTATTATGCAAAATGATTAAATGTTAGTGAAAAACCTATCTTGTCCTCCATGTGTGATATGTTCAGCAATTCATGATTTTTTTTTCTCATTTTCTGAAATATTCTATTATGTAAACAGTAGGGTGTTGATAAACTAGCATTGTGGCTAGCAATTATAAATAATAACTGAAGAACAACAAAATACATAAGAAAAAACTGTAAATCCACATTGAAGAATATTGATATTGTACGATTATCATTCACTTTCTAAATTTCTAATTAAATCCTTTTCTTTTAACATATTTAGAATGGCAAGTGTGTCAATAAAGGAGAGTCCGACGGTTAGAATAACCCTACTAGAAAGTTACAATCTATTGAGTTCTTATTCTCTATTTCAATTGTTCAATGTTTATTTAGTGCTGAAAGTTGAATATGATGACATAACTAATTCTGAGTATGTCATACATTTTTCTCTTTGGATTATTGGCAACGTACCACTTTTCATTGAATGTGATGGTAGTAGAATGAGTGCAGCTATTCGATCAACTCTTACAAATTCTGAAGTAAATCCTATCAATCAAAATCCACTAGATTTTCATCTAAAGAAAGTTATTTTTGCATCATTACAATTTCCAAGTTTATTAAGTAAAATATTTGTTGCTAATGATTCATTGTTCACATAACATATCAAATCAAAACATTTGCAATGAACATATAATCCTTAAAATGGATCGATTGAATCAGCGGTCAGTAGATGATCAGTATCAATCGGTAGCTAAACAGTTGATATTTTGTGAAATGAACATCATAACGATAATCTGCATCCACAAATACCAGGGAAGAAAAACCAATAATGGACAGTTAGTGCATTGGATCAAAGAATTATTTGTCGAATAGATGATGAATGCTACCTTTCGACCAACAGCTTTATCATAGAGGATAGATTGATCGCTTTATTTAGATCTGTATAATTGTGATGGTACGAATGTAGATGCATTTTCATGGCATAAACAAGGTACTAAATCATGGATATAGAAATCATTTGATAGAACTGTTCGAAGTAAACGTAGGAGTCAAAGTTGAATTATACTACTCAAGTTCGAAGTACAAACAAGTTCACTCTCAGATGGTTCACAAGTTTTAATTTAACGTAAATGAAGTGATAGTGAAAGTATGAACCAATTATTATTAATTACTGTTAGGTAGATATCATTCAAAATTAATCATCATGCCATAATGATGTTGAAGGTGATTGTTACTAAGCTAAGCAGATTGTCAGGAAAAGCGCATATTTTGACATAGAAATTAATTAAATAAAATTTTCTTTATTTCAATATTTGTCTTAACCGTAATTAAATCGACTGATTATTTCCAGATTATATCAATATATTATATGTATTTACATTTCTGATGTTTTTTCTGTAATTATTAATAAATTTTTAAAACGAATATGCTAGTTAAATGATAGAATTCTCGATGGGGTCGTTGAATAAAACATTATCGAACTCTACCTATTGATAATAAGAGAATAATTTGATCTTGAACGATGCAAATAACTTAAAAACATAATCAACGTCTACCATACAGTACTGAATCATCAAATCTGATTAAAAATGATCAGTTGTTTTCGTCTTTGTAGATGAAAATTCATTTTGTCTGTCATAATACTATTAGCCATCAAACAAGTTCACATCACTTCGGAGAGTCTATTAACAATGATTAATGCTTCTAAAATCATCATTCTAATTCAGCTCGACCTCAACACAACTGATAGAATTACTCAACTTCATAAGTTGTACTACAATTTCTTACTGTAACTGATTAATATGATATGAGTATGTGTATTGCAAGAAAAAAGCAAATCATCTGAAATTAAATTAAATTAAGAACAAGTTCCTTGAATTTTCAGTTTAATGTATATCAATACTCTTTATAAAATCACTGTAAAATATAATAGAAATTTTATTTGAAAGTTAGTCATGTCATGAATATTTCATGCAAACGATTTCTCTAGGCTTTTGTGATAATTGACATTCATTAACATATATGCAAATCAACAGATATTTCATACAAATCTCATAATAAAAATGAAGATGAGAGCTGACTATATTAATAAAATAACTGAATACATCCATAATTATATTAATCGATTCTGATTATGATTGACAACTATATAAATCGAAGTTTTCTTTTAAAATGTTCAATCAGACATAGAGATTTGAAAGAATTCAAAAAAAGACTAGAATATTCCCGTAGGATAAACATAGCATGCGAGAAATATAGATAGATTTAAAATGATTTGGTTTCGATATGAAAGCATATACATCATGCTATTATTATGTTTACAACTGAAAGATTTTTTCACAGATTTATAAGTTTATTCGCCAAGCAATCATAATAGTTTTTATTTATTTATCAGCACACAATAAGAAAATCTACTTTGTAATCTCTATCTATTTTCTAATTAAAATAAACATGATAGTCGTACATTGAAGCCAAGCATCATCTTAAAATTTTTCTAATTATAGTTAGCAATAACTTTTATAATTTGGAATTCATTAAATACTATATTTTTATTTGAATTATTGTCTAAACATTCTACAATTTATAAAACGAATTTCATAACAAGCATAAAAATATTAATGTAAGATTTCGATTTCATTGAAATTCGACAAATTTTTGATCAATGATAACAATAATTATTCTAAGTGAAAAAAAGTTGTTTGGATATAAGATATTCATCTGTTGAATACGAGGCATGCAACCAAAAAAAAAATCAACATGATCTCATGCGAAAATCAAAAAATGAAGATTGCTCACGGAATAACGATTAAGAATAGTACAGTTATGTTTATATATATAATAGAAAAATGCTTATTAGTTCGATATAATTGGTCGATATTTTGAGTCCTAATTGAAGTTTATCGAGTTTATTTAAACAACTGTTATACATCGTTTTTGAAATCGAGAATATAGCTTAGATAAATAGTCAATCAATTGAAACGTGAAATGTGATATTGGTTTTGTTTTCTTGCAACAAATGTTTAGATAGAAAAAGACTAATGAAATTCTTCAAATAGCAATCAATCATAAAATACTACCTTTTCAAAGTACAATTCAACATTCAATTTATTCATCACTGTTCTCTTTACAGCAAAAATTTTAACAACAACACAAATAGCTATCATAGATTAAATAATTTCATCTGGAGAAAATGTAATCTTTACCTGTTTCATTATTTAAAAAAAAAAAGAAATAATTCTATCATGAACGTGAAAAATTCTTTGAATTAGACATTCGCATTTTTTTTTCTTCAATCAATAATCTTCTTAGTAAACATTATTTTTGGTTTCCAATAAAGCATTTTTCTGCTGCTTTTTCATTTGTCCACTGACGTGAATGTGAACATACATATTTTTATAGTGAATATCTCTGTCTATTCTGAAATACTTTAATAAATGTCATGATCAGTGAAAAAGCATTTTCGATTCGAATGTTTAATTTACGCTTGAAATAATCAGTTGTTTTGTTGTTAAAGTTCATAATTGGTATAAAGCAAAGTTAGTTCAACTGGTAGTTATTATAAACTATAGAAAAATTCTTTTTCGGAGATTATATAACTATAATTCATACAGCAAGTAATTTTTAATAAAAAGTATACCAAAGTCTTTATACTATCAGATCTTTCATGATTAACTGTTTCGTTAGATCAATTAATTTCATTCATCATTGATGCAAAAAATAAGATTTAGATGATTTAGTATTTGCATACTTGAAAAATGTATACGATAGAATTGACTTAAAAATTCAAAGAACTTTCAAATCTTTCAAAGTTGATTAGTTTCTTTCAAAACACAATTGAATTCTTAAGGATATTTCGAAATGCATAGACTTATTATATTGCCATCAACAACTTGAAGAACGAATTAATTAGATGATACTCGTATTTAGATTTGCGGCTTTAGTTTATTAATTTCTTGTACTTATGAATCAGAGTTACCAGCTTTAGTTTTTAAATACAGTCTTTTAATGTCTATGTCGTCAATTTTTCATCAAAATTAACATTTGACTGCAGTTCATGGAAAAAATTGACGATTCGAACGATTTGCTTCTTTTTTTGGTCAAGCTTTTTATAAGTTTTCTATTCAATTGACAATTACTGTCTTGAAGAGACTGATTACTACTCAAAAATGTCGATTTTTATATACTAAAGAATATTTTATCAGATGGCGCCACACTTTACCGATCACTTGAGCCTCGTAACTTATGACTATTTTTGTGAGACCATCTTTAGTAAATAATCAAACTTGAAAATTAGGCAACATTAGCCGATGTAACTGGTATAGGTGGCATGAGCACACTCAGATTTACAAGCAAGAGCGACCTCGATTGAAATCTTATATTTTTTTTTCATAGATGTCATAATACCGATACGGTGGGTATCGACCACCAGCCGTCACGATACCCACCAGAATGAACAACGAAAGTATATTGATACAATAATCACTTACAGTAACGACCTCGTTACGTAACATGAACTATGTATTTTAGAAGTTGAGGGATATGAGTGGATTTGCTGTAACGACCTCGATACATAAAGTGAACTATGTATTTAGAAGTTGAGGGACTTGAGTGAATTTATTGTAACGACCTCGTTACGTAACATGAGCTATGTATTTTAGAAGTTGAGGGATATGAGTGGATTTGCTGTAATGACCGCATTACATAAAGCGAACTATGTATTGAGAAGTTGAGGGATATGAGTGGATTTGCTGTAACGACCTCATTACATACAGGGAACTATGTACTTAGAAGTTGAGGGATATGAGTGGATTTGCTGTAATCATCTCG